CCCCTTACTCCTCCACCGTTGCACCCACACATTCCTCCTTCCTCTCCTCCTCTCCTCTTCCTCCTACTCCTCCTCCTCCTACACTCCTCCTCCCCCTCCTCCTCCTCCTCCTCCTCATACTCCTCCTCCTCCTCCTCCTCCTCCTCCTCCTCATCAGCATCATCATCATCATCATCATCATCATCATCATCATCATCATCATCATCATCATCATCATCATCATCATCATCATCATCATCATCATCATCACCATTGTCAAAAACCTCATCCTCATCCTCATCCTCCCATCCTTCTCCTGCTGCCCCTTCTTCCTCTTCGCGGCCCCTGGCGGCGGTAAAGCAGGGGCTCGAGCTGCGCTCGCGCCCAGCCCTTCTTCTTCTCCTCCTCCGCAGTGGACTGTGCCTTGGCAAGAACGCCCAAAAGCGTCCTCCCCCTCAACCTCCTTCTCCTCCTGGTACTCCTCCTCCTTCCCCTCCTCCTCCTCCTCGTCCTCCTCTTCCTCCTCCCTCTCCTCCTCCAGTCCCCGTATGACCCAGCCCGCCGCGCCCCGCCAGAAAGAGCGCCCCGCCGCCGAACGCCACGGCCTTCTGGGAGATCCGCTTGCCGAGCCTCCGCCCGCATGAGGGGGCGGTGGGGCGGGCAAGCGACCCGCCGGGAAGCGGAGGACGCGAGCGCTCGGCATGGAAGGGGACGTGCCCCTCAGAGTTTCTCTAGATGGGATCCGAGCAGATGGAGTCGGAAGATCGCGCCGCATCGCCGATGCATCGGCGCCGTCGGCGCGGGGGAAGTCGGGTTCCACATCCAGCCGCATCGGCGATGCATCGGCGATGCGGCGCGATTTGAGCAGGGACCGGCCGTCCCAGCATTCCTGTAGGCCTGCCACGACAGGTTCTTCGAACCCAGAAGTGCTGCAATAACCAAAGCAAGGTCCTCACAACAGAAGGCCGATGCGTGAAAAACGAGACAGGCTCGGCCAGAACTGCTCCGAGAACACGTCGTGCAGACGGCAGCAGCTTCCTGGAAGACTCTCTGGTGGGCCCGTAGGCGAGCCAGGGCGCTTCGCCACTGCTCGGGCGATCCTCCGAGCACGTCCACCTGGGCCCCATGTTGGGAGGCCTTGGCCCCCAGAGCAGAAGGAGTCCGCTCTGGACGTCTTGCTCGCTGCCAGCGGGGGCCCAGGGCCCTGGGACTGCAGAGCAGGGCGAGGGCGCCGGGGTGGGGAGCCGGCCCTGGGGAAGGCCCCAGGAGGCCTGGGGACGTCCCCAGGGGGAGGAAGAGGAGCAGCAGGAGGAGGAGGAGGAGGAGGAGGAGGAGGAGGAGGAGGAGGAGGAGGAGGAGGAGGAGGAGGAGGAGGAGAGGAGAGGAGGAGAGGAGGAGAGAGGAGGAGAGGGAGGAGAGGAGGGAGGAGGGAGAGGAGGAGGAGGAGGAGGAGGAGGAGGAGGAGGAGGAGGAGGAGGAGGAGGCCTCTCTCCCCCATGGCCTCCCGAGCGCGCGGACGCCCGCCCGGCCAACCCGGCAGGCAGGGCCCAAGACCTGCCAGAGCGGGGGGAAGTGGTGCCACAGGCCGCCAGGGCACCAGGCAGAGCCCGAGGCAGGCCGTGGCCACGCAGCGACTTGCAGTCGGCCTTGATCGGCCAGGACACAAGACCCCTCCGAGGGCCACATCGCCATGGGGGATGTCGGAGGCATGGGTCGCGAGGCACAGGACACAAGGGTACCTAAGGGTACCTAAGGGTACCTAAGGATGCCTAAGGGTACCCTTGATCTGGCAGGGTCGACCTACGAATCAGTGCCGACTGTATTAGGTTCCTCCGCGCGTGGGCGTCCTCAGCCCAGGCCCGGCCGGGTGGCGCCGTCGATGCCGCCGTCGCCTGGCCAGGGTGGCGCCGCCCCGGGACAAGGAGGGGCACGGGGAGGCGAAGCGAACGCCAGCGTCGCGCGCGCTCCGCTGGGGAGCCTGCCCGTGCCCATTGGGACGCAGCGCGGGGGCCGTGGCCTCAAAAATGTGATGCGTGCCGAGATCAGGTCGCCGGCGACGGCTGTGACTGGGGCGGCCTGTGCGCCGGCGCCCCGACGCCCCCGACGAGCGCAAACCTTCCGACAGAAACGTCGACCACACCTTGCGCTGCTTCGGCCAGCTGAACAAAAACAGCAATCATTTTACCCGAATGCTTGATGGTTCTGTGATGCAGCATGGATCCATCATGATAGCCCCCCCCATCAGAGGGGGATTGTTTCTTGCACGATGGGGTACGATATTCCCTTGCCAAATCTCCCGCCCGAAAAGGTCCTGCCAACGCCGCTGTCGAAGCAATTCAACATCTCCAACCCGGATGGCACATCGCCTTCGACATCGCCCTGCCCAGGCCTTGCTTCAAAGTATCACCGCACTCGAATGGCCTAACACCTCCTGGGAGAGGCCCCACAACCTCCGGGAGAGCCCCGGGAGCCCCTTGGAGAGCCTCGAGAGCCCCTTGGAGAGCCCGAGAGCCTCTCGGAGAAGCTTCAGAGCCCCCGTGGGGAACCTGAGGGCCCCGCGGACCCTCGACGCAGGCGCGTGGGCCAACGCGGCCAGCGAGCCGCTGGTCGCGCGCGGGGCTGCGCCGCCGGCGGCGTCGCTGGCGGCGGTGCCCGCGCAACACGCTCCTCGGCAGACGGGCACACCTAGAGGGGCCCAGGGACACACAATTAGAGAGACACAGGTCCCAGGATTCCCAATATTTTTCGTCTCCCCCCCTCCACTTCCCACATTTTCCTATAGTTTCCTGGGGGTCGGCGGTTAATTGTGTCTGCGTGTGCTGTTCCCCTCCTGAGAATAGCGGGCTTCGCCAGCGCCTCGCGCGCGGCGAGCGCCGCCCGGAACTCTGCGAGACCGACCAGAGGCGCCCCACCACCCCTCGGGTCGGAAAAAAGAACTCCTCGATATCACCCGAGCTCCGGAGGCCGACTTCTGCGAGCGCCCTGGCGCCAGTGAGCCCAACGCGCGCGACGGTGGGTGGACTAGAAGTGTCCACACGTGTCTCGCCAAGACCTTGAGTTATCAAAGCACGTCGGACAAAAATGTATCCCCCCCTTCCCCCCCCCAAGTTGACGGGTTTGGGCGGTAGGCGGTAGGCCAAAGGTCAGGGACAAGATGTGGGCACTTCAACTTTGGCTTCGGGGGAGAGGGGTGCGAAGCAAGGGCATTTCGCAGTTGTGGTTCTCATCATGTCGCACCGCCTTAGCGCGATGAGTGTGGACACTTTCAAAAAATGACTTTTCGTCCGGGCACCGGAGCGCATCGCGAACTGGCCCTGGAAGCCGGAGCAGCGCGGCGTCTACGAGCAGCTGGTGCGTCGCGATCGCGGACGCGCAGCCCGCCCCCCTGCGGCGACCCAGGGAAGCCGAAGGCGCGGGGCCCTGCTCGAGAGTCTGACTTCCGTATAGACGACTCTGGTACGACATTCACCTGGGAAGTTCTGAGCACTCGCACCGAAACGCTGCATGCGCATCATCATCATCATCATCATCATCATCATCATCATCATCATCATCATCATCATCATCATCATCATCATCATCATCATCACCATCATCATCATCATCATCATCATCATCATCATCATCATCATCGTCATCATCACCATCAGCATCATCATCATCATCGTCATCATCATCAGCATCATCATCACCATCACCACCACCATCATAATCATCACCCATCATCATCATCAGCACCAGCAGCATCATCATCAGCATCAGCATCAGCATCAGCATCAGCATCAGCATCAGCATCATCAGCATCACCACCATCAGAATTTCATCATCATCATCATCATCATCATCATCTTCTTCATCATCATCCTCATCCTCATCCTCATCATCATCATCATCATCATCATCAAAATCATCATCACCATCAGCATCATCATCATCGTCATCATCATCAGCATCGTCATCACCATCACCACCACCACCATCATAATCATCACCCATCATCGTCATCATCAGCATCATCAGCACCAGCAGCATCATCATCAGCATCAGCATCAGCATCAGCATCAGCAGCATCATCATCATCACCACCACCACCATCAGAATTTCATCATCATCATCATCATCAGCAGCAGCAGCATCATCATCATCATCACTATCATCATCATCATCATCATCAGCAGCATCATCATCGCCATCATCAGCATCAGCAGCATCATCATCATCAGCATCATCGTCGTCGTCAGCAGGAGCAGCACAATGATCAGCATAGCCAGCTGAATCATTATCATAATCAACATCAGCATCTCCATTAGCGCTACCACCGCCATCATTATTTCCACCATTAGCATCAGCATCACCCACATCACCATCATGCTTGTCATCACCACAATCATCAGCCTCACCGTCATCAACATCAGAACTATCACCATCATCAGTCATATCTTGGCACACCCTCACACGTTTCATGGCCCTGCAGGAAGCTCCACCGAAGGCCCCACTGGGAGGGTTCGAATGGCGCCACCGCGCCAATTTCGGCACACCCCTCACGCGCTTCGTGGCCCCACAGGGAGCTCCACCAAAGTCCCCAGTGTAGGGTGGCGCCACCGCGCCCATTTGGGCACACCCCATCACGCGTTTTGTGGCCCCGTAGGGAGCTCCACCGAAGGCCCCAGTGGGAGGATTCGCATGGCGCCACGGCACCCATGTCGGGACACCCCTCACACGTTTCGTGGCCCTGCAAAAAGCTCCACCGAAGGCCCCAGTGGGAGGATTTGCATGGCGCCACCGCACTTATTACGGCATACCCCTCACGCGTTTCGTGGCCCCAGGGGGAGCTCCACCAGAGGCCCCAGTGGGAGGGTTCGCATCGCGCCACCACGCCCATTTCGGTACACCCATCATACGCTTCGTGGCCCCATAGGGAGCTCAACCGAAGGCCCCAGTGGGAGGATTCGCATGGCGCCACCGCACCAATGTCGGTACACCCCTCACACGATTCCTGTCTCTGCAGGAAGCCCCACCGAAGGCCCCAGTGGGAAGGTCCGCATGGCGCCACCGCGCGCATGTCGGTACACTCCTCACACTGTTTCGTGACCATTTCTCTCTCTCTCTCTCTCTCTCTCTATATATATATATATGTATGTATATATATATATATATATATATACATATCGGAGGTTGAGGGGTGAGTCCGACGTGAAACGGAGACCCCCACTACCAGGAAATCGATTTCGGTTTCGGGTTCGTGTCGTGCGTGCTGTGCGTGCGTGTGGGCGAGGCGAAGCTGCGTGGGCGGGCGAAAGGAAATCCTCCTGTAGCTGGGCCGCGGCCGGAACAAATGTAACTCCTCCGGCGGCCGGTGCCCCGCGGTGTTCCGCCGGTGTCCCGCCGGTGTCCCGAAATCCTCCTGTGGCTGGGCCGCGGCTGGACAACATGTAACTCCTCCGGCGGCCGATGCCGCGCGATGTCCCGCCGGTGTCCCGCGGATGTCCCGAAATTATCCTGTGGCTGGGCCGCGGCCGGACCAAATGTTTCTCCTCCGGCGGCCGGTGCCGCGCTGGTGTCCAGCATCGGGTGGCGCCGCGAGCAGTCACTGTGGCACCGCAACGCGTACGGTCGCCCACGTCGACTAGCGCTGAGGTGAGGTTCGCGCGATTGATAAGCGCACGCGGGGACAGCGCTTCACGACTATGTCGAGTGCGCTTAGCCAACGTCGCCACATCACATCACGCTCACGTGCACAAACACACTACTCACTAGACTCCGCACCACAGGCATCGTCAGAACAACAATCACCACTCTTGCCCATTGCTGCCCCCCCTCAACCTTCTTATCACCCGCAGGGTGGTCGTATAGGTGTGTATATATATATATATATATATCGGAAATTGGGGGGTGAGTCCGACGAGAAACGGAGACCCCCCTACCGGGAAATCGATTTCGGTTTCGGGTTAGTGTCGTGCGTGCCGTGCTTGCGTGCGGGCGAGGCGATGTTGCGTGGGCGGGCGACAGGAAATCCTCCTGTAGCTGGGCCGCGGCCGGACCACATTTAACTCCTCCGGCGGCCGGTGCCGCGCGGTGTCCCGCCGGTGTCCCGAAATCCATGTGGCTGGGCCGCGGCCGGACCAAATGTTTCTCCTCCGGCGGCCAGTGCCGCGCGGTGTCCCGCTGGTGTCCGGTGGTGTCCCGTGGTGTCCCGCTGAGTGAGATCGATAGTGAGATCGATGTGGTGCCCCGAGGTTTCCCGTGGTGTCCCAAAAAGTGAGATCGATAGTGAGATCGATAATGATATCGACAGGTGTCCTGTAGTGTCCCGTGGTGTCCCGTTGAGTGAGATCGCTAGTGAGATTGATAGTGAGATCCCGAGGTGTCCCGAGGTTTCCCGTGGTGTCCCAAAAAGTGAGATCGATAGTGAGATCGATACTGAGATCGACAGGTGTTGCGTGGTGTCCCGTGGTGTCCCGTGGTGTCCCTTTGAATGAGACCAATAGTGAGATCGATGGTGAGATCGATGTGGTGTCTCGAGGTGTCCCATGGTTTCCTATGGTGTCCCGTTGAGTGAGATTGATAGTGAGATCGATAGTGAGACCGATAGTGAGATCGAGGTGTTCCGCGGTGTCCCGTGGTGTCCCGTGATGTCCCGTTGAGTGAGATCGATAGTGAGATCGATAGTGAGATCGACAAGTGTCCCGTGGTGTCCCGTGGTGTTCCGTTGGGTGAGATCGATAGTGAGATCGATTGAGTCAGATGTTGGCTCCCCCCTCTCTCCCACCCCCCACAACCTCCTTATCACCCGAAGGGTGGTCGTATAGATGTGTGTATATATATGTCTGTTGTACAAATTTGGAGCGCCACCAGAGGCCCCAGAGGGAGGGTTCGCATCGCGCCGCCGCGCCCACGTCGGTGCACCCCTCACACGTTTCGCGGCCCCCCTCCTTCGCCTCACCTGCCTCGCGATACTCGCAGCTGCGCGTGGCTGGGCTTTCCGCCAGGACACTTCCACGACGCGAGCGCGTCTAAGCTCACGAAACCGGGGCCTGCTCGTACAGTCGGGGTGTTGACCCAAGGAACCCAAAATAAGGAACGAGGCCCTTTTATTTTTTGTTGTTTTTTCTCTCTCTCTCTCTCTCTTTCTCTCTCTCTCTCTCACTCTCTCTCTTCATGAGTTAAACTTCGACTCCCCATCGAAAACCGAAGGATAACCGAAAGCAAACTGTGAAACCATTAAGAAACACGGAGCCCCTCCCAAACGAAAAGGCTGCCTTCGCCAGTACCCCGACCGTGTAGCACCACAGACCACCCGGCAGGGGCGGCGGCGCGCCACTCCCCGCTGAACACCGCCAGGCTGGTGCAGATGGTGTGGCCGGCGATCGCTCCGAAGATGACACCTGCCGCTGGGCGCGTGGGACCGCCTCCCCTCGCACCGCAGGGAAGCCCCCCCGACAGCTTCCACTGCGCAGGCCTCACGGCGCCCGGCGGAGCGCCGCGCGGGGCGCTCTGAGGGCTCGAGGTCTGGGTTTCTAGGCGTTTGCTCGTCGCTTCTCTGCGGTTTTACGGCCTCGGGGTGCGTTCCAGCGGCTGCGCCTCGCCGGTGGCGCTCTGGGGGTACCCAGATCGTGCCAGACGACCACCTGAGGCCCGAGTTATGGCCCGAACACCGTAGACAGTTTCCTGCGCGAGGTCGTCCTGTTTTATGCGCTCGTTGATGTCAGGTCAGTGTAGGGGGCCTTCAGCCTCCCACTGCTCACACTCCCCCGTCTCTCACCGCGCCTGGTGCAAGAGTGGCGGGCAATCGCTGGGCCTCGCCGGCACGGCATGTGGGGACATCTCTCCGCTGGCGGGCGCAGGGGACAACAACGAAACCTCGGCCGAACCAAGCATGGCTGCCAGTGTTGACTTACCCTTAGATCCGACGAAGCGAACAAAAACACAACATCGCAAAACATCGCGACCAGAGCCCCGGACCCCCTCTTTCTGCGCCCTACTTTGAGCAGGAACGACCTGTGAATGTCCCGGGGCCCGCAACTGCGAGAACGCCCAGCCCGGAAAGCAGCGAGAAGCCAGGAACACACGGGCTTGGGAGGCCACGGCGGCCACGGAGACGAGCGGGCAACGATGTGCGGAAGGACCCAGGAGAGCTGCGCTGGCACTTATCGGCAGGTGCAGGGTATGCCGACGAGGAAGACAAGGAGGAGGACGAGGAGGGAGGAGGAAAGAGGGAGGCGGGAGCAGGAAGGAGGAGAAGGAGGAGGAGGGAGGAGGAGGCGGAGGAGGCGGAGGAGGAAGAGGAGGAGGAGGCAAAGGAGGAGGAGGGAGGAGAGAGGGGGGAGGAGGAAGAGGAGGGGAGGAGGAGGAGGAGGAGGAGAAGAGGGGAGGGAGGAGGAGGGAGAGGGAGGAGGAGGAGGAGGAGGAGGAGGGAGGGAAAATGAGAGGCCAATGTGCCGCTCTGGGCCGAGGCCGCTGCACGGCGTCGCGTGCCGTCCTCGGGCGTGCCTCCTCGGCAGGGAGCGGTGCTCGCGGAGCTGCCTCCTCTGCCCTCGGCCTGCTTCCTCGGGCTGCCTCCGCCGTCCTGGGCCTCCTCCTCCTCCCCCTCCCCCTCCCCCTCCCCCTCCCCCTCCCCCTCCTCCTCCTCCCTCCCCCCCTCCCCTCCCCCTCCCCCTCCCCCCTCCCCCTCCTCCTTCCTCTCCTCTCCTCCTCCTTCTCCTCCTCCTCCTCCTCCTCCTCCTCCTCCTCCTCCTATACCCTCCGTAGCCATTTTGGCTCAAGACCCATGCTTTGGCGGGCTGAGCCCGCATTGGCAAAAACGGATACCGCTAGTCCGCGGCAGCTATCAACCAATCAGGAGGTCCCTCACTCGAGGGGTTCGCGAGCCTCCAACATCCCTTTCCTTGCTCTCGCGCCATGGCTCCTGCTGGCCCTGGTGAGTGGGAGCGCCGCCCGTGGGTCCAGTCCTCCAGGCCCCGTCGCTGGGGGGGCACTATACCTGAGGGCGGGGTATCGGCTGACAAGTGGGACAAATGGGACAGCCAGCGAGCCAAGCACGAGGAGGAATGGAAGACGGTGGCTGGGCCCAAAGGAGAAATTCTATGCCACCACTGCGGTTGCCGAAAGAACTCAAAAGGATCGATGTGCTGCAAGCATTGTGGCCAAAAGCTCGGTTCTCGACCCCAACCTCTGGAAGACCCTGGGGCCCCCAAGGTGTCGGACGAGATGGGAAAGGGAGCGGGCAAGGGGAAGAAAGGTTTTAAAGGCGGCAAGGGAGATCTGTTCGGTGGCAAGGGCACAGGCAACCTCTCCTCGGCTCTCCCTCCTGGACCTGTTCCCGAGATTCCTCAAGACAAGGCTCTCGAACTACAGCGTTTGGCTCGTGAGGCTGGGGACGCTGTGGGGGCCGCGCGCTATGGAGCCCTGGCGCAGAGGGCGGCTCCACCCCCGAAGCCGTCGGGGAGGCAGAGGCTCATTGCCGCAGAGCAGAAGCAGGAGAAGCTCGAGAAGCGCCTTAACAGTGAGTTCGAGAAGCTGGAGCGCTGGCGTCGGGCGACAGAAGAGTTGGCGGTCACGGTTCGAGCCCTGGCCGACGAGCTGCAGGCCGCCGACGCCGAGGTGGCATCCGCCCTGGTGGAGCTCCAGAGCCAGCACAGGGGACCACCAGCTACGGAGCCCAGCGGCCTGGCGAGCATCAGCCTGCGCAAGCTCATTGACGGTGAGATGGAGTTGGCCAGCCTTATTTCTTGTGACGATTTCATTGATGTGGAGGCTGTCAAGGGCAGCTACGAGGTGTCCGAAGAGGACCTACGTGAGCTCGAGGAACGCAAGAACGACGTGGCGAAGCAGATGCAAGAGGTGCTGGGATCGGCGTTTCGCCAAGCGCTGGAGAAGGCCAACTCCGCTCAGGACCAGCACAAGGAGCACCTCAAACGTCTTCAAGCAAAGCGGCGACGTACCGCTGATGACGGCCCTGGGGAACAAGCAGCAGCCACAGGTGGGATCGAGCCTGGACCAGGGGTATCGCCTAGCCCAGAGACAGCGACGCCGTGCTCACCTGCCGAGGCGACGGTGGATGCGCTGGGCAAGGCTGCCCCACAGGTGGACATTCGCTCTCGTGTCGCTGCTGACGGTGGAGTCCAAGCTGCTAAACGGGCGGGTCTTTAGCAACAGCGTGAGCTCGACTCAGTTGGGGGCGACGTGGTCGAGTTCGGCGACTCCCTGTTCCTGGTCATCTCTTGGTGCCGTCCCTGAGAAGGCGGCCGCTAGCGCACCCCCTCCTGAGAGGAGTAGCCCGAGGATTCCCGCCTGCCTCGCGGCAGCGGCGAGTCCCAGGCGGGCAGCGGCGCTGGAGGGACGGGCATTGACGACGAAATCGATTGCCACGTGCGCATCGTCGAGGCCATCTTCTTCGGTGGAGTGGTCATCGTCGGGGTTGGGTACTCCCTGTGCTGCGGTGTCGCCGTCTGCGCCAGTGTCGGCTTCTCCCTCGGCAGCGGTGGCGACGTCGACTTCGCGGGTGGCGTCTACCTGTTTTGTCGGATCGGAGTCCAGGTGCGCCTCGAGCCTGGTCTCCTCAGAGTTAAATTGCGAGGAAGAGCGGCCACGGGCTTCGGCAACAGGTCAGAGCGCCGAGTACGTGACAGCCAGTCAGTTCGCAGCCGTCAAGCCCAACCAGGGCTTGGCGGCCCTCCCGTCCAAACCTTTTGTCGGATGCAGGAAGGAAATTTCAGCGTCAGAACGCGACAGCCAGGTGCTCCTCGAGCCTGGCTGTCTCAGAGTAGATTGTGAGAACCCATCGTGGGAGTCTGGAGTTAGATCGCTAAATCCTGGGGGCAACCGATGCTCGGACGAAGTGCCCACCCAGGTTCAGTCGCCACGTGTTGGGTCTCGAGCCAAGGGAGTCAGTGTTGAGCAACCTCTTGGAGAGCCTCAAGCAGCGCTGCAGCAGAAGCAAGTCATCTCATTGTTGGAAGGGCTCCCTCCTGAGGATCGTGGTGCCCTAGGTACGTTCAGAGTGGGCACTCTGAATGCGAATACGTGGCCAAGGGCTCGGATCACCATGTCATGGATTGAGAAACAGGGCCAGATGCCGCATGTGTTATGCATTCAGGAGACCGTGTTGGACCAGTCGGGGGAAGCAGGGGCCCATCAATGGTCTCGCACTTGCTCTCGGAAGCTCGCGCTGGGTTCTGCCAAGCGCACTGGAGAATCGGCCAGATCACTCTCAGCAGGAGTTGGTTTGTCTGCGGCCATGGGCATTGGTGTGGCCAAGCTCCAGGTGCCGGAGAGATGGCAGCACCGTGTGGTGATGAGACTTATGACGGTTGGCACGCACTCGTGGATCATCATCGGCTCAGTCTACGGCGTCGACTCCATCGGCCCCAAGGGCGAGAACCTTGAGTTGTTGGAGTTCCTTAGCGCCTTCCTGGGGGCGCAACGTTTCCCGTTCCTGCTGGGAGGCGACTGGAATCTAGAACCCGAGGAGATCATGGAGACAGGCTGGCTGGGTCTGGCAACCGCCACCATCTTCGCACCTGGCCTCCCAACCTGCAATGGCAAAGAGTATGACTACTTCATTGGCTCCCAGGCTCTGGACGCCTTCCCCATGTCGGTGGAGGCCAGGGTGGACACGCCGATCTCGCCACACTGCTACGTGGAGATCAAGCTTGAGGGCCTCAGGGACGAGCCATTTGTCTGGGTTGAGGCTCCCCCACGAGCCTTTCCTCTGGCCGACAAGGAGGCCAAGAGGAAGACCAGGAAGAAGGATCTGTGTGCCAAGGAGACCGGACTCACCTCGACCACGGAACCGCCATTGGTACCTGTGCTTGACGAGTGGCAGCTGGACGCCCCCGTGAGCTCGGTCGAGGAGGCGGCAGCGATGTGGTTCCACGCGGCGGAGAAGTACCTGGTGCAGTTGTTCGAGATTCCGTCCTCGGACAGGAGGTTCTATGTTGGCAGGGAGAAGGGCGTGGTACTCAAGAAGAAGAGGCTGGTGGATTGTGCGAAGTCTATTCTTGAGCGCCACGACGAGTCGGACACCAGAGCCTGGCTGAGTGCCCTCAGGCTATGGGATGGCCTATGTGTAGCATCGTCAGCTCCGCCTGGTTCGAAAGCAGGCAGACCAGAGCACTCCGCGAGGTGCGAAAGGCAGCTGCTGGCCCTGAGGCTCCCTGAGGCCATCTCGGATTCCCCCTCCCTGCAGGCAAAGGAGGTCCAGAAGTGGGTCGCCCTGGCCAAGAGGGGAGGTCAATTGTCTGCCTGGTTTCGGACTGTGCTTGCGGAGGAGGTGGAGTTGCGCAGGCGCAAGGACTCACAAGCCAGGAGCAAAGCCTGGAGAGAGTTTGGCGAGCTCGCAGCTGACGGCTCTGGCAGGATTGCGCACGCGATTTCCAGGCCCAAG